TATATATATATATATATATATATATATATATATATATATGACCCTAGCAATAGCCAAAAATTAATTGTATGGGTCAAAATTATTGATTTTTCTTTTATGCCAAAAATCATTAGGATATTAAATAAAGATCATGTTCCATGAAGATAATTAGTAATTTTCCTAATGTAAATATATATTAAAACTTAATTTTTGATTAGTAATATGCATTGCTAAGAACTTCATTTGGACAACTTTAAAGGCGATTTTCAAATAGTGGTATCTCGGCCAAATATTGTCCTATCCTAACAAACCATACATCAATGGAAAGCTTAATTTATTCAGCTTTCAGATGATGTATATAAATCTCAATTTCGAAAAAACTTAACCTTATGACTGGTTTTGTGGTCCAGGGTCACATTTATAAAAACTCATAAACCTGCAGTTGAGTACATGCACTGTGTATAGTATGTCATTTAGGACACAACTCATATGTTTATGTTTCTTAATGAGTGTATACAGGACTCCAGAATGATTCATTTGAAATGATTCACAGTTCCTTCAGTCATTATATCACTCACTGTCATTCAGTCACTGCTCTGATATATTTGTGAATGTCTCAAGTCAGTAGAGAGTTATGCTGATACTTAGATGATATAGGTTTCAGTGAGTTAGATGAGTCAGTTACTGTGTTAGTGAGTCAGTGTGGTTGTTTGTCCAACAGTGTCTCTGCCAGTCCATGAGTCATATGGCCAGTAATTTCATGAATCATGTGCAGCAGCTCTGATAAATGCTGCCTTCATGCTATTAAGCTCCAAACCCAAACGCTGCAGGTGTGCATGTACAGCCCAAAGCCATGTGTCTCATTTCATCCAGGATGAAGTGTTTTGGGGAATCTTAATGTGTTAGTGACATTAAGGCAGGGTTTGACTCTAAGGTCAGTGTAAGAGAGATTTAGGCCAGTGTTGTGTTCGTGTTGTTAATTGTTGTGCAAGTGCAAGTTGCAGTTGTGCAAGTGGGAAATCAACCAAGCAAGCACACACAGACTCTCAAGTCTCACAGAGTCTGCACAGGGACATATATTAGTAAGTGCACTGAACGTGTGAGTATATTAAACTATAACACTCTCAAGCCCTTGGCTGCCCTGGGTTTAAAACCATGAAAATTAAGAGCCTGATCTGTGGTGTAGGATTTCAGGTATGGCACTTTAAAAATATTAATATTGCAAATTCTGCATTCACAATGCAAAAAATTCCTGCATACATTTATTTGCAATAGGAGAAATAAACAAAGTCCAATAAATTGTTAAATTATTTTGAGTTTAGTGAGCCTTAGTGTTGGGCGATATGCTCCATAGTCATATCGTCCTATCGTCAGAATAAAAGGGTTAAAATGACATAGCATTAACATTGCAACATTACAAAGAAATAATATAATGCTTCTTACGAATATAATGCATCTTAAAGGGGCAGTCACACTGCACTTTTCATTCCATTGACTTCCATTCATACGCATGCGAATGCGTAAGACCGGAAACGCAAGCTCATGCGAAAAATTTCGCTGCGTTCCAAAGTTCAAGTTTGGTGAACTCTGACCTGCAAATTCGCATCACGTGAAGACGTGTGACCAGTAGAAGATCGATACGTCACTGCGTGACCTCTCTGTACAGAAATTCAAAAATGGAGGAAGCGCTAATTTTAGCCGTAGTGCAGCATCCTATTTTATATAATACATCTTTAAAAGATTATAAAAATCTAAATAATAAAAAAAAGAAGCTGCATGGTTCGCGGTGTCAATGGAAACAGGAACAGACGATATACAGTGGTGTGAAAAAGTGTTAGCCCCCCTCCTGTTTTTTTTTTTTTTTGCATATTTCTCACACTTAAAAGATTCAGATCATCAAACAAATTTTTATATTACACAAAGATAATGCAAGTAAATACAAAAGGCAGTTTTTAAATGATTATTTACTTTATTAAGGGAAAAAAGCTGTCCAAACCTGCCTGGCCCTATGTGAAAAAGAAATTGCCCCTTAAATCTAATAACTGGTTGTGCCACGCTTTGCAGCAACAACTGCAATCAAGTGTTTGCGATAACTGGCAATGAGTCTTTCACATCGCTGTGGAGGAATTTTGGCCCACTCTTCTTTGCAGAATTGTTTTAATTCAGCCACATTGGAGGGTTTTCAAGCATGGATGGACTGTTTAAGCATCTCAATCGGATTTAAGTCCGGACTTTGATTTGGCCACTCCAAAACCTTAATTTAGTTTTTCTTGAGCCATTCAGAGGTGGACTTGCTGGTGTGTTTGGGATCATTGTCCTGCTACATAACCCAAGTGCG